ATTAATAAAGAAATGAAAAAATTATATGAAAAATAGTAAAAATGATTTTCTACAGTAATTTCAGCCAATGCAGCTAGAAAAGTAACTATAACCCTACTTATTTTGATGAAAAAGTTAAGTGTAGGTGAAAAAGTTGACTCATAAGGCTGATAAAAGCAAAAAAAAATAAGGTCACCAAACGGGCTATCAGTTTCTAAAAAAATTGTACAACATCAATTTCTTTAAATATTGAGACTCTAATACACGTTATAGGACTATTCAAACAAAATCCATCTTACATATTTGAGTGAGGCTCTAATGCATGACCAATTTTTTTAAATAATGGATCTTTAGTTCATGTGAACGAGACTCTAATTGTACAACACTAATACTACATATGATGATCTAAAATAATGTAAACTTCACATACTTCTAATTTCAATTCAATATTTCCTATAACTCCTCATCATATAACGAGCCTTGTAAATAATTAATACTCCATACCTATTAGAACAATTAGCACATATACAACAATATTACTACCAGAATTATTACTCACTTGAACTCATACCAGAATTATTACACTAGTTTATTATTAATACCAATGATACTTTATAAAGAGAAAAACACAAACTTACTAGAATAATTCCTACGCACCTACCATATATTCTTTTCTTTTTTTCATACATGGCGAGAAGAAAACTGGGTAGCCCACCATTTAGCGGGTCTTGGCTTGACAAGCTTTTTTATTGGATCGCTTTGGCATTCCATCATTTAGATTTTAGTCTATTTTATTATTTGTTGTGATTGTTATTTTCTGGAGAGAGGCTTTGGTCTGGTCCTCCTCTCTCTTTGTATTTCTCGATTTTAATAAAATTCGATAAATGTTCTCGAAATTTACCTCATTGGTTTTGGTGATTTATTTTCCGGGTTAAAAATAACATACTACCTTCGTTCTTAAATAAACGCAACACTTTGACATATACACTATTCACATGTTCTACTTTGACTATGTTTTATTTATTAATGTAAAAATATTATTTTAAGAAAAAATATTGTTAAACTCGTCTCATTGTAAATTTTCATAATCTAATTTTTTTAATTTTTTTACTAATACAAAATCATTTATATTAATGGTCAAAGTTGTGTCTCGACAAGTGTGAAATGTTGACCGTTGCATTTATTTAAGAAAGGAGGAAGTATATTCTTTTCTTTGTCAAAAATAGTCGAATTATACAGATTTCCCATAATACTCGTACCAAGAAAATGCAAGACATCAAGATACTATATAGACAGGTGCCATAGCGTGTGATACTCATATATGCATCATGTGGTTTGCGTAGAGGAAACCACTTTACCATCAAAGTGTCCAACCGCCAAATGTTGCAATTAAGCAATTTCATTAAAAAAAAAATTGAATGATCGAAGTATGATATCTGACTTTTATTGGAAAAGTAAGACCTCATTTAATATATTTTTAAAAAATATCCCTTACATCCCAAAAAATTGCTAAAATGATTTTTCTTTGTCCATGACAATCAACTTTGATCAATGATATTTTTAATAAAAAATTATTTCAAATATGAAAATTATATCAAAGGGGGTGTTTGGTTAAGAGCCCTGATGTTAGTTTTCTCGCACTTAAAAAGATTGTAATATAGCGGTGAAAGTACGAGTATCGTTTCCACAGGGACGGTAAAAGTGAATTAAGGACTAACTAAAATCAGCGATAAAGAAAAAATAAAACAAATGCGATCGTGCGAGATTTGGTTGATTGAGAAAATTAAAATTGCAAATAAACGACTAAAAGTAAATATTTGGGTTCTTCTTAATTAACGACCAAGGGAACAAGGATTGATTCCGGGGTAATCAGATTTCTGGCAGATCAGGCTTAATTACATGAATTTAATTTAATTGAGTCTAGCCAATCAATACTAAGTTCTTACCGCTCTCGCGGCGTAGAGTACAATAATTTAGGGGACCAGACTGATCTCTCGTGCGACAGGATCCTAAATTATTGTCAAAGCGAACGAGCTTACGGCCCCTTAATCGCTACTAATCTCTTAGCGAACGATTAAGTGTGTGCGAATGTGTCCTAGAATAAATTAGATCTCTCTTAATTCATCCTACATGTGATTGTAATTCTAGTGGCCATCTAGGTTACAAAAGATATCAATTAAATTACTCAAACACAAATTAAACGGCATTTATGCAATTTACACCATCAAGAACCTAACCATACATCGTGACTAACCCCTTCATCAATCCCAAATCCCTAATTAAAACTACTCCCGACTCATAATTGAAGAATCAATAGAATTGGGAAGAATAGAAATAATTGCGATTAATTAAAAAGTAGGAACTTACAAAGAATCTCAAAGAATAGAAAAAAACCAGGGCTAAAAGCTCTTAAATTCGTCCTCCAGCTGCTAAATAAGTTACACCCCCCTTAATTAGGGTTATGGGGGTGGTATTTAAAGAAAACAAGGCAATTTGAGCTGAATTAAGACAAAACGGGGTCAGGCACGGCGCCAGGCACAACCGTGCCTGCGACCGTGCCTGCGGAAGAAACCCGTAAAAACACGTCCAGGCACGGCGTGCCTGACTGCCAGGCACGACCGTGCATGGCCTCCGGTAGCTTTGTTCCTCGTTTCACTTCAGGCACGGCGTGCCTGACTGCCAGGCACGACCGTGTCTGGCCTCCAGTAGCTTTCCTGCTTTATACAAGGCATGCACGGCGTGCCTAACGCCGGGCACGACCGTGTGTGACCTTATTCTTCACTTTCTCTTGGTTTCCTTGTTCCAAACGCTCTCGGATGTATACGAGGTCAATCAATTACTCGTTCTTCATCATAATTTCGTCGTGAATCTCCCGATGACCTTCAAATCTCTCAAATCTTCTTCGAATGCCTTCAAATCCTTCCTGAATGCCTCTCAAGCGCTGATTGTCAGTCTCTAACTTCTTCAATTCAACTCCAAATGCAAAGAAACTCGTCCCAACGTCTGATAATCACAACTTAAGCAAAAATTGAGACTTGCAACACCTTAAAGCTAGGAAAACCATCAAAATCCAACCTGAACACGCATCAAATGTGTGTCTAAATACGGACTTATCAAGCCCATCAGCCATTTTTTGCCTAATTTGACCAATATTTGGCTTTTTTACCAAATCAATCGATCAGCTAATAAAGTGTTCGGTTAAATGGCTTTTTTGTTTGGCTCTTTATCCCAAACAATCAAAATATGAAATCCTATCAAACCCGGCGTTTAGTAGCGGCTGTTAGGGATGGCAACGGGGCGGTTCAGGGCCTGGTATACCATTACCCATACCCGCCCTGTAATTTGATTTTTAATCCTCGTACCCGCCCCGTTCCCCACCGGGTAATTTTTTACCTGAACTGTACCCGGTTGGAACGGGGAAGGGTTTCCCCCGCAGGTAACCACAATATTTAAAGATAATTTTTTTTCTCAACAATGAAATTAAAGTATAATTATAAAGTAATTATAACAATTAGTAATACTTTTATACTTGGTAACTTTTATACTTTTAAATCATTTACATAGAAAATTCTAGCAACTCCACATACAAACTAATCAAAGCTAAAGTGAAAGAAAATTAGAGTAATTACACAAACTGATCTCTTCTCGCACAAGTGATACTTCGTATTTTTTATAAATTATATGGTGTATACCTAATATATGAAGTATTTACATAATAATACATTAAAGATATAATCTATTAAAAAATAAAAGATGATATTACGGGTCGGGTAATGGTGTGGTAACCGTACCCGAACTAAACAGGACGGTTACGGGACGGGTAACGGGTCAGGTAAGTATAAAACTGTACCCGCCCCATTACCCGTGTACATAAATCGGGTATTCTCCACCCGTACTCGTTACCCAGTCAACACGGTTTTCCCCTTTTTGACCAGTTCGGTTCAGGGCGGGTATCCGTCGGGGCGGGTTAAATTGTCATCCCTAGAAGTCTAATAAATGTTCTGATGAAGAGAAAAAAAAATTATGTTATAATCATAACAGCAATAATAATAACATTAATTTTTATGTTATTTAAAAGAGTTCGAAGATTTGTGTATTTAATAAAATATAGTATGTACATTTTATGTTATAATGATAACAACAATAATAAGATTAATGATAATAGTGTATATACAATTCGAGAGACCGGGAAAGAATGTTACGTGAAGGATGTTAAACAAATTTTACCTTTTTAAATAAAAAATGGTTTAGACAATTGCATGGATTACATAATTAAAAATTTAGTGATGTCCTTGATAGTCATTTGACAAGTTAACAACTGATTGTAAACAGTCATTTAACCAAACACCATTTTACAAATTGTTAATAGTATCAACTAATCAAAACAACCAACTAAATCCGTCTTTATCAATCAGCCAACAGACAATTGCCAAACACCCCCAAAATGTTCCTTACTCAAAATATTTTCATAAAATTTATAAATTATACAGTATACAAATATACGGAGTAGTAAGTATAATCATTGCCCAACGTTTAACAACGTTGACCAAGAAAATTCAATATGATAAATTTTTTCGAGACGGAGGTAGTATCAAATAAAATGAAATTTATCAAATTATGTATTATTATTATCCTCTTCTCACCAAGTATCTTGTGATCTAATGATATCTATCATTGTTGATCTCTCAAAGAGAAGTCACATATTGGAATCTCATTTCAATCAAGAATATTGCCATTATCTTGAGTATGTACTATGATAAGTTTATCAAGATATACTAAGCACTACGTATAAAAAATTACTATCCTTCTCTCCCCACACCAAACTTTCAATTCCTTAGAAAGATATATAAAAACTTACTATCATTCTCTCTCCAAACTCAAGCCTTCAATTCACTATTTTGACCGCTAATCGACAAAATAATTCTAGATTTTTCCTAAAATATTGATATATCAATTATTGATATATCAATTTCATTTTAGTTGTATGTATAGAATGACATTTTATTGATCAATAAAGAGAACGCAACTTAGTACCATTTAAAAGGCAACATTTTTATCACTTTCAATTTCATTTTAGTTGTATATATAGAATGGCATTACATTTTTGTCCGTGAACATTGTTTTTGTAAAACATTTATTTAGTAATATTGGAAGAAACCCTATAAAAAACCTTAATATTCACATACTACAAAATTAACACCCCCAGGAAAGTACCACTCTAATTCCGCTACAACAGTCTCTTTCATTTCCGGTCCATTCATGGTCTTCTCTTCCGAAGAAACATCCAAAAATGTGAAGAGCTCATCTTGACTATATCTTATTGTATATTACGAAAAGACGTGGAAAACTGTGAGTCTTCTCTTGTACTGAATCAACATTTCATCTCATTGCTCTTTATTAATCAAGCCTGTCAAAATTCCAGGATAAGAATATAGTTAGGCAACAATACATTATATGCATTTTTAATGCCCCTACTATCTTTAGGATTCTATTTAATCCAAAACATGGAACACAGACTTAACTTTGTACGCTTATTTAGTTATTTAACAAGGGTATTTTATTTTCATACGGCAATGACTAAATTGCGTCTACAATACATGGTTGAGGACCAAAATGAATCATAAACTGGGGACTTGGGGACTTGTACTTGTTCCATTATTCCACTCTCAAATCTAACATAACAGGACTATACCAAACGGACTAAATCAGGCAAGACTAGACTTAGAGTATAATAAAATACAACTAGACCCCTCCCCCGCCTGGCGGGGGGCGGATACGGTTTATACTATTTTAGGTTAGCTTGCTAGCTTAGATAGTTATTTTTGATCTTTTTGATGCATTGTACTTATGCTATTTTCTGGATATATATACTTACATTTTATTCAAAAAAAATACAACTAGAACATACCTATAACAAATTTAATTTTAGCCAAGACTTAAACAAATCAAACTAGTCAAAATAAACCAGTCATAGACCTATATTTAGTAAGCGTAGGGAAACAAACTTCATATTCACAACTAAATTCCTATAAGAACTTATTTAGGACCAAATTTCATAGCCTGAGGACACAATTGAGTAACGAAGTATATTGATAGCCTGTGTTGGGTATTAACTCTTAATTTTCAATATTAGAAGACTTCATATGTTGCAGGTAACTTGCCTTGGCAATTGGAGTCATTTGTGTAGGAGGTTCAGGTATTGACTTCTTTGAAAACAGTCTATGCGAGGGAATAGCCTTTTGGGTCCTTAATGGTTCAGAATTTTTAATTCCGGATGACACTTCATCCATATCTCGTATAATTTGCCCCAAACCTTCAACCACCTGGCTCATTGATGGTCTATTGCTAGCAGTCTTGTTTAAGCATGTATCTGCAAGGTTTGCAATTTGCCTTGCAGCTTTAAGAGAATACTGACCCTGAAGCCGTGGGTCAACTATCATTCTGAACTTGTTGCTTTCGGTTGGGAATTGTTTAATCCAATCAAGAAGTTTCTGTTCTGAAGTAGGACGGCTTCTTTCTATGACACGCCTCCCTGTGATTATTTCATAGAGAACAACGCCAAAACTCCATATGTCACTCTTGATTGTCAAGTGGCCAGTTTCAACGTATTCCGGAGCAGCATATCCCAATGTGCCAACAGGCTAATGGTGGAAAACAGGGTTAAAGGAACTGATTAGACACTTGAAAAAATGAACTCGGCCTAACTAAAGTTCAAGTACCAAACACACTTAAGTAGAAACTCCTCAGACATTGTAGAACCTAGCAATAGAGTAGTACTACACGTAAACTACCTAACAAAATGACCTTGCTACCACTCTACCAGTATTTAAATTTAACAATAATGCATTTCATTTCTTTCAACATAAAAAATATTTGATGTAAGCAAAGTTAATATAGAAAATGCGGAAGTTGATAAAAAATATGCATTGAATTCTTAAAAAAGAAATTCATTTAGAGACAACTCTTTTGGCTAAAGCAATAATTAGTTTGGGACGGAGGTAGTATATGATACTACTTGAATTGAGAATTGAAATAAAGAAGGGAAAATATGGAAGACGGAAAAAATTTAAATAAATAAGACTAAAATAAGGCACTTCATCAAATAGAATCAGCATTATTTATGCTTCTTTGCTGAAAATAAGACTGAATCTCTCTTAACCTCATAGAAAAATAATTTTCACTACTTTTATTCTTTTTTAAGAACCGAATAAATCCTACTTTTAGAATAAAAACAAGTATATTTTGATTCATGAATAAAACCCATGATTTACTCATATTTTTAATACTACCTCCGTCCCTTAAAACTTTGCCAAGTTTGACCGGCACGAGGATTAATAAAATAAAAACTATGTGGTTGAGGTTTGTGCAGAGGAGAGAGAATTAACTGGAACCACAAATTCTTTACTTAAAAGGGAAAGTGGCAAAGTTAGTGGGACATCCAAAAAAGGAAAGTTGGCAAAGTTTTAAGGGACGGAGGAGGGAGTAACTTCTAAGTTCTTACTAGAAAATTGGAATAATATGGTCTTTTTATTTTATAAAGCAACACTTTTGGGTCTTTTTTGTATAACAAAAAAACGACAACCATTGGAAACACAGTAATGTTGTATTACAAGTGATCCCAAAAGTGTTTACTTAAGCATGATGTGTATAGACACATGAGCATTGTTTACTTACCGCTGTAGACACATGAGATTTGTCACCCACTGGCCCTTCTCTTGCAAGCCCGAAGTCTGAAAGCTTTGGGTTGAAATTCTCATCCAAGAGCACATTTGATGATTTAAAATCCCGATATATCACCTAGCATTTTAAAACAAGCAAAACATATTAGCATCATTTGGAGGGAAATATTGTCATGATCTGAATGAAACTGCGAAAATGCCTTTGCTACTCTTACTATCAAATCTTATTCTTCATACAATTTACAAAAGCTTGTAAATTTTGCATTAACTTGAACAAATTTGTCTTCCAGATTCTAATGTTCTATATAGTTAGATCACTTAGATGCCTATGAATCTCAATGAGTGAGATTATATAAAGCAAAAACGCTCAAAATTCAACTGCTTGAGGGGTGGGATTTAAGAATGTAAGAACACAAGTAGACAAATGGAACACTCAAAATCAAAGGTTATATTTTACCAGCTATAAGTTCTATAACACACTAAATTCTTTTCACCTGTACTTGTGAAAAGTGATTTATTTTAGATATTATAGAGAAAGTGATTGATTGGTAAAGTTAGTAGAGTTTGATAATAAAAGTAATCTTAGAAAAATAGAACTTGGGTGTTGGCAAAAGGTCCTTTTTGGTACATTAGTTAAATAAAGTTTTATAGAGAAGGTGAAAAGCAGTAAGTTAGCTTCGAAGTGCTTAAAGTTAAAAGAAATGCATATTTGGCTTTTTGAAAACACTACGGAGTACTAGAATTTTTAATGAAATAGTGCAAAAAAATCTATTTAGAGCAACTCCAAACACTCCTTAACTTTGGAACACGGAACATGGTAAGTTCGAGAAAGTACAAATACTGATTCGTCAACTTTGAAACAATTTTAAATCTTCTCCCACATTTTTGTTTCATTCTAGCCTTCATCCATCCCCCCCAGCATTTCTGGGGGTCCAAGAGACCTTAAATCATACCTGGATGTCTAGGCCCTCATGCAAATAGGCCATTCCTTCAGCTGCACCAAGGATAATATTCAACCTTGTCCTCCAAGGAATGACAGCCTTAGTTTTGCTAAAAAGATGGTCCTCTAAGCTTTTATTCTGCATATACTCATACACCAATAGACGTTGGATCCCCCTTTCCCCATCAGTGGCGCAATATCCAAGAAGCTTAACAAGGTTAGGGTGCTCCAGGACACCAAGGAACTGGACTTCAGCAATCCATTGTTTGTGACCCTAAAATTATACGAAGTACATATCTGTACTGTAAATATCATCATTTATCTCAAGATCCAACACGAAGCATATACCGAAACCATAAACAATTCATGATTGTGCCGCAGCCACTCAGGTTTATAACGCCGTTTGTTAAAAAAAATACAAGTTGCGGACGCAAGATTTTATCTTTAGGGGGGATGAGTACTTATTGTTAAATCTTTCCACAACTCAGATTTAACTCACATATAAAAAGGGGAGCAGCCCGGTGTACATTGGCGTCCCCACAAGGCAAGGGTCTGGGGAAGGGTCAGCCCACAAGGGTGTATAAGAGCAAACCTTCCCTTATTAATTTGACAAGAGGCTGCTCTCAAGACTTAAACCTGTGGTTGTAAAATAAAAAAGACTTAAACATGTTATCTCTTGGTCACATAACGGCACCGTAACCAGTGCACTAAAGCTCCTGTTCATATAAGGCTTCATGTTACTCTTCGTAACTAGTTAACACAGAAATCAGAGTCTTAATGTGTTTTTCGAGCCCATTACAACCAAACGAGCAACACAATCGGAATAAAACTCACAAAGAGCACACAGATTTCATGATTTTCTAAAGAGAAAATTCCCGAAATAGAAGTAAAAACGGATTTGAAATTCCAGAATAGGACTGTCGTGTTTTTATGTCCTAAATAGGAGTAATTACTATCATAATTGGAAAATATTGTTTGTTTAAAGTCAGTTAATGCCAAAACATATACATAACGCATATACATAACGCATACCTACTTTATGTATCCTACAAATCTAAGAATATGTTGAAGAACATTTTTATATTATAACAGCAGGACACAAGTCACACAACTGTATAGGTCAAAATCTAAAAGACGCCTCATTTAGTCTTTAAATTTGCCAGCTCAATTCACATTGACTTTTAAATTAAATTAATAAATAGTTCCTCAGTTCAGATAGTCTGCACAGAATATATTCTTATGGGTGCTTAATTAGTCTGAATAGTAGAAATCATAATTGCGATGGGTTACTCTATATGACCATAATGCACATGGAAAAAACCTCTAGATTGATATTCATAAACCCATATGTTCTTTACATACCTAATAAACTAAAAGATAAAATCTCATAAAAATTGGAGATCGGAATTTAAAAAATTGCCAAAAAAGGACGAGAAAAGTAGGGTTTACCTGCATCCCCTGAGTATTGAGCATCTTAATGGCAACAACCGTAGATGGCGCACCCTGAGCATCAGAAGCCTTGATAGAGCCCTTATAGACACTCCCAAACCCTCCTTCCCCAACCTTTAACATCCTATTGAAATTGGAAGTGGCCTCCCTGAGCTCAGACAGGGAGAAATCCCTGAGAGTCGGTGGCTTTTCTCTGAACATTTGGGGAATGCTTTTGGGGGAAGACATCGAACCGGTGGACCGAGTGGCTCTGCTAGAGGTCGCAGAGGAAGTGTCCGGTTTGCTGCCTCCTCCTCTGTGGGTCAGCTCAGGCGCTGACTTTCCTGACGACCTCTTTGACCTCGATTTCTCCTTGAACACGTGGAAGCACGACATCATCTTCCCCCAAAACTCCAGACCTTCAATTGTAAAACCTTAACTTCTTCTTCTCGTTTGTCAATAATGGAGCAGTAGCTCTATGAGCATTTCTTCTTACTCTCTCTCCGCGTATATTAATTGATTGTCGATTTTGCGCGGGCGTGTGTGTGTGTGTGAATGCTAGAAAAAGCTTAAAGATGGTGAAATGATGACGCGGAAACTATGGGAAAAGCTACGCAGAGGAGCCCATGGCTACAGAATTGGCTGAGAATCTGATAAAGGAATGCGTGCTTTCATGGGAAGAGAAAAGTCAATTCAACGGTCAGGATGTAGTACGATGAAAAATCAAAAGAATCAAAAATGATGGACAAGACAGTAAAATGATGAAGTATAATTTACACCTCTCAAGTAAATTACGTGAGAGGATGAAAATTGCCTGGTCAATTGTGGGGACCCGCAAAGGGGTGTCATCCTTGAGGGCTAAAAATAGTGAGAGGATGAAAGTTTACTCTTTCTCAAATTTACAATCACAAAATTTTTACTATTTTGCTTTCTCTTTTTTATAAAATTCTTCGCACTTATATTTTTGGGATGTTCCAAAAAAATTTCACATTTTTCCTTTTAGAAAGTTTTGTGTGGCTAATAGGGCTGTTAACGAGTCGAGTCGAGCTCGAACATCCAAAGCTTGAGTTCGGCTCGATAAGGAATTAGTAGTGTTCGGGTTCGAGCTCGAAGCTCGGTGAGCTTTACAAATGAGGCTTGTGTTCGCCTCGATAGGCGTTCGAAGTTCGATCCGAGCGCTCGATAAATATGCTCGAATTTGAAATTTTAGGTGATGCTCGTTAATAAGATCGTGCTCGAATGGTTCGACAAGTATTCGATTCTTTAATAATCATATTTAATTTCATAAAATAATACTAATTATATTTAAACTTTTAATTATATTTATAATTTTAGGGTGTTCGATAGGCTCGAGTTCGAACCGAGCTGAATATGACTATGTTCGAGTTCGGCTTGATTAATTTTTCGAACTTAAAATTCAGCTCGGGTTCGTGTTCAAAAAGCTCGTTAAGCTCGGCTCGTTAGGTTCGAAACCGAGCTCGAACTCGAATAGTTCGATAAAAGCTCGATTCGATAAAAGCTCGGCTCGTTAAGCTCGGCTCGTTAGGTACAAAAATCATGTACACTATGAATTTTCTTTGTGGCAAAAGTTATACTCCCTCCCCCCTCCCACAATTTACTTCCAATTTTCCCTTTTCATCTGTCCCAAAAAAATCTTCTCTTTCCATTTTTGGCAAAGTATTTGTGGTTCACAACAATTCTTACACATTTCTTTCCTCTGCACAACTTTCCGTCACATAATTCCCACTTTCTTAATCCGTGTGTCATTTGTACATGGAAGTAAATTATGGGACGGAGGAGTATAAACATAAAGTAGTAAGGGCTATCGACTGCACATGTATGAACATAAAGTAGGAAGTGCTATTGACTGCACATGTATAGAATCTAGTAAAGCAAGTGAGCTGATTTATCTTTTTAATAACCAATTAATGAAAACAGAATACAATTTGTCCATGTGAATCCAATTTTGTCACTGTTGACCGTTGTGAGTGATGGTCGTTTTTCCAGCTATTATTCCAGCTATATGAATATAATGAGATTTTGTATTTGTATTTGTTTAATTTTTTTGAATATGAATTCGAATTCAAATATGAAACGAATATTAATTTTGAATTGTATTTGTTTAATAATACGAATAGTTAATGAATCATCTACGAATATCGAATTGATTTGAGCATAAGTTAAATTTTAGTCAAATATCACTCTAAAATAACTTTTTTATACTCCATATTTTTTATGTTGTAAATGCATGCTATGACATAATATGTGTTTTTTGAATTTAATTAATGGATTGATGCATTTTTAGATGGTACACAATATACTAAAGTGAATTAATTTTATGATAAATAAATATAAATCTATTTCAAACTTTTTAAAATAAACACTAACACACACATATTAAAAATTATACTTATAATGTGTGAAATAAGTTGATAATTGTATATATCAAAGTCAAACAACTCTAATTTTATTCTTCAAATCGAATACATAATTATTTGTATTGTATTTGAAAGACGTTTGAACCAAAAACATGATTTGTATTTGTTTTTATATTCTGATTTATTACAAATAGGCTTGGAATTTGCATGCAAAAGTGTATATATGAGTTACACTTTGAGGGTATTGCTATTTTTTAAAAGTTATTATAGTGTTATTACTACTATTATTATTAATATTGACATTAATATTACCATTATTATTAATCGAATATATTTGATTAATATTCGAATTGAATACACTGATATTCTTATTTGTATTTGATAACAACTCGAATCAAATTTAATATTCTTATTTGTATTTGAATTTTCCGAATTCGAATTATCTTATACAAATTCAAATTGCGAATCGAGCACAAATTATTTGATTCGTTTACAACCCTACGGTATTAATAGTCCAAAATGTAAAAGTTGGAGATATTAGACTCATAATTTAGTGTAGTGCCGGATTAAATGGAGGGTTAAAGTGGGCAAGCGGATGGAGGGGGTTTAAAAATAGAGGGTGGGTTGAGAAAAGGAAAAAGAAAAGAAAAAGGGTTTAATGTAACGAATCCCTTGTGATATAGAAATTCCGTGCATTAGTATCATGTGATTATGCGTCAAACTCCCCCGTGTTATAATTAATCATGCGCAAAATCTCTCCTATGTATGAATTTAATTGTCAAATAAAAGAAAAAAAGATTAGCATTTTTGTATAATTTAGAAATTTTGATAAATTTACTTGCATATTCAGTCATAATAATATGAAAAATAATTTCTAAATTGTTAAACTTGTTCACAATAGAGGTTATATGCATGATTAATTATAACACAGAGGCATTTGATGCATTTTTTAAATCACAAGAAGTTAATACGCTGAATTTATGTGTCACAAGAGATTTGGTGCATTAAACTCAAAAAAAGGGAAGGGGGAAGCCAAAGGTGCATTGCATTGAAATGGGGATGTCATCATTCTTGTCTCGTCTCTGCATCATTATAACCCCAATTTTTAAAAAACTCTTATACAGAGTAACTTTTTTATTTGTTCTCCAAATTTTTCAAAATATATATCAAAATTTATGAATTTTTATGATCTTTCTTATGACACTAATATGTAATATATATAATGAAAAAAAAACAGCAATTTTAATTGTTGGAGTTTTCTTTAGTCCAAAAAAACATGTAACACAAAATTTAAATTCATGGAGCCTTTGCGAATCACTGAATATTTCATAATCGAATTTTGTTTGAACTAAGTTCATTTTTTGTTAACCTAAATGATGGAGTATATGGCCCGGGAACCCCCGGCCCACAGACTACTACTACTCCAGCGAAGGCCCAACAGGCCCAGAAGGCCCAACAGGCCCAAATCACAGCGCCCAGAGTACCAAGCAGCCCGCACTACGCGCCAGGGGTGCCTTCGGCCCCCTGGCCGAAGGCTCTAAACTCTCACATAACGGGTTTCTCAAGCAAATTAAGAAACTGGGAGAAAACGGCGAAAACAGTAGCCCTCGGCACTGTGAGTCCTCGGCACCAGTGTGCCATCGGTTGGAGGAGCCCTCGGCTACTGCTCTATAGCCGAAGGCATCTCACTCGACAAGGTATCCGCCTCACATGCGTACAGATCACCGTACCCTGCACAGACGTCCCATCCAACAGCCGCATTAAATGCGGCCACATGCGGCTGCCAGCGCCAACCAGTTGAGGTGACCCCTCGGCCAATGAGCGCTTGACACGTGTCCCTGTCCGGCATTTATTGCTACTATAAATAGCACCCCATTTCCCCATTTGTAACCACGCTGAAAACGCTCCACATTTATAATACTCTCTCTCTCTCTACATTTACTTGCTCTGACTTCTCTCTAAGTTATTCCCCGCAATAACCCTTCGGATACATACCCCCGGGTAGACTATCCATCATTTGGTGCTCTCGTTGAGAGGTTGAACAATCAAGTAAGAAACCCTCCCCCTTCGCCAAACACCAGCCCTCTACCAAAAATGGTGAGAACAACACGTGCCAACTCAAAGAACGTAGAAGACAAGAACCTGGCCCTCGGCGACGTCAACGCCCCCGAAGCCTCTCACAGGGCTCCCGAGGGCGGTGTCATCGCTGGGCTGGAACAGGCGGCTGTCGACCTACGCCTTCAGATCCAACAAAATGCCCCCGATGCCCGCCTCGGCATCGAGGCCAAGAAGAAAAACCGGAGCGATGACCAAGTCAGCCCTCCGGTTCTCACCATCGACGTGCAATCGGCGCTCTCCGCCTTCATCCAAACGCTCACACAGAACCCGGGTGCCTTCGGCACCCTGGCTCCGGTTCACCCCCAGGTTGGGGAAAACATCATACTTCCCCCTCCGCCACACCCCTTCGGAAATCCCACCCCTCGGGTGAGGAATGACGAAGGGGTAGTGGCCCAGGACACGTCCTCCCAGGAAGTACAGTCCCGGGATCGCCACAATGACAACAGGGAGAGGCCCCGCACTTCCGCCCTCAACCGGCTCGGAGGAGGGCCAGACCGCCGAGGGGTCCAAGACCGCCTCGGAGGAAAGGCACTCCAAAGGCCCCTGGAAAGTGGAGGGTCTGTCTCGAGGGCAGACGAGGAGCGTCCCCCTCGGGACAAGGGCAAGGCACCCCTTAATGCCAATGATGCTCGCCACCAAATCAACCAGGCCCACTCAGCTCGGGTTCGTTCGCAGGGGGCGGAGACCCTCCCGAAGGATCCCCGGGATGAGATTATCGCGGCCCTCCAACGCCGGCTTGACGAAATGGAGTCCAACAAAGCTCACGCCACCACCTCCACCCCTCATTCAGATCTCAAATACGAGGCCATGATGGCCAAAATGGAGGAGTTACAGAAGAAGGTGGTCGAGGGCTCCGGGGAACCCGTCATCCAGCTCCGGACTCGGACGCCATTTACCCCAAGGGTATTGGCGGCCCGGATCCCGGAAAAATACCGAGGGCAACACATACAGCCCTACCACGGGAAAACGGACCCCCAGGAACACTACAGCAAATACCAGAACAGCATGATGATGGTAGGGGCGTCAGACGAATATTTGTGTCGTTGGTTCCTCTCCACCTTAGAGGGGCTGGCATACGAATGGTTCAACAGGCTACCCGAGGGTTGCATTGATTCATGGCAAGAACTCGCCTAGCGATTCTTGACACAATTTGCCGGGAGGCGTCGCACAAGGAAGCACTTCTCCCACCTCCTAACAATACGCCAAAAGAGGGA